TATATGGGAATGTCTCTGTTAACTGTATCAGCTCTAAAGTTAACAAAGTCATCAAACACAATGGCTGAGCCTATTATTGTAACAGAATTTTCAAATGTTGAAAGCTATTCACAAGTATAATCAAATGGCACCCTGAGAGGAATAAATGTTTTTTTGGTTATTTTTGCTCTTAAGCTTTTAAGTCTCATGCACTTTTATGAAAAAACTATTTTTTACATTGTTCACAAATGCCTTGACTTATAGGTATTTTTGTTATTTCTTACAAATGCATGCATAAATAATGACAAATACAAAACAATTCACAGTTTATGAAGATGTATTTAGCCCTGATCAAAATTTAAAGTATTCTTTTTTCTATTAAAGTTATGTAATTTTTGTTTGTGTATGATGGTGACTAGAAAGCTTTACATGTGCTTCTTATTCAAAATACAAAGGTATAAGCACTGTAAGAAGATTCTCAGCATTATCTTATATTGTGTGGAGGGGAGAAAAAGCATAAGTACTTACATGAGTATAAGCACCTTCTTTGGCTAGTATTTATGTTGACACGTGCCAGTGAAGTCTCCCAGATTGTTCTACTCAAAATTAGTAACTATGCCAAATTGTTCTTGTTCTTCCTCTGATTGGGCCACTTTTTATTTCCTCTTAAATGGTTTCACTTATTTCATATATTTTTCATTTTCTTTTGTAGGATTTAGAGGAGTCTTAGGGATGACAGTGACATAAATACACTTTTTGTGTAGAGGGATATTTTTAAATAAGAAGTGGTCAGTGGTATAGTTGCTAAGAATAATCATCATCTAGTATTGAACAAGTTATCAATGGGAGGAAACTCCTATGAAGTTATATGTGGGCTTTTGTTTTAATTTTCATTTATTTGTAGTAAAAACTGATGAATCAAAATCACATTTCTGTCAGTGCACACCAGATACTGTGACAGGTCACCACAGGCCATTCACATCTCTCCTGTCTTTAACGGCCATGGCTTCTTGGTATAGAGGACAGAAATTCTGCTTCCTCCTGTTTTAGGTTAGATTTATCATGCCTTTTGTTCATACTCTTGTTAGACTACACATTTGTAATGTTTCAGAAATTATAGGCTCATAAGGAATTTGGCTTTCCACAAAAGGTCCAGGACCAGAAACAGAAGGGTGCAAAATTTCTCATTAAGGCTGTCAAGGCTTAAGATGCCTTCAGCTGGGGTTCAGCTGTGGAAGACATGGCAAAGGAAGGAAAGGTAGGAGAAAATGACAGATGTAGCAGCTGTCTGTTCTGGAATAAAAAGATGTCAGACCAGGTCTGTTATGTTTCTCAGCACAGCCACTCAGAAAGTACTCTCCAGATTGACCTGAGAGATATGTTCCCAATCTGTGACAAAAACCAAAAAAAGCCTTGCAGTTGCTTGCAACCTGGTACCAAGGAACCACAGAGAACCAGCAGTCTGAGTCATACAGAGATTCTCCTATTCTGAAGAAAATTATGTATTGTTTGATCCATGTTAAAATGTATTGGCCAAGAGTAAAAATATAATTGTGGTACACAACATAAGTTTTTACAGTTATGGTGATGGAGTGTATGGGAAATAAAATTACATTTATGGCTATGCATTGTGAAACATAGTGTTAGCTACAAATGTGTTTGAGCCAAGTTTTCTGTATTTAAAGCACTTCAAATAATCTTAAATAATCTTAAACACCAGAAAAGCACATTCTATATAATGATTTGGAGTCAGTTTTGTCCCTGCTGCATTGCCCTTTCTGCGATCTTGGATGCAGCTGGGAGGAGGAGGAGGATTTCGTGTGAGGAACCAGAAGAAATGGGGGTTTCTGTGCACCGGCCTTCACAGAGCCCCTTGCAGTCTGTACAGAAGTGTCTGGCCTCTTCCACCACCATCTCCAGAAGTACCTTCATTCTGATTCAGCATTGGAAAGGGAGCACTTCTTTCCTTTTTCCTTCTCATCTATGTCTCCCACAAACAAAACAGAAAGAGGAGACTTTTTCATTCCTAGGCATGCAATCCAGTAGGATTCTCTTCATGAGATCTAATGCACAACAGGTTTCTGTAACTAGCCAAGAGGCAAGTAATACCTACTGCAGTGTATTAAATGTATGTGAACTATGGACCACAGGTAAAGCTGATTATTTCAGTGTGTAATTTTTGTGCTAGGTGAGTTCAGCTCCATAGGTGGAAATGGTCACTGCTGCATTGTACAAATTCTCCAGTCATTATGTAGACCTTGCTGGGAAGTGAAAGAAAGTGAAAGAAAAGTCATAGGGACAGCACATAACCAATTATTTTCTGCACTTTTGCAGCTTGTTCCCCTGAAGTTCCTTTTCCAGCTAATCCAAAAGGTGGACAAAGTTCATTTCAGCATTAGCAACCTAAAATCAAATCTCAGCTGAGATTAATTTGCATGAATAATGAAACCTGTTTTCAAGTGTGGTATTATTTATATATTTTTTAAAGTAAATGCTTACATTTTTATTTTTCTAGGGCACTACCTATGACCCTCTTGGCTTTGTTTTGTGCTTTGAGGTTCAAACTAGTGACCAGCTGGAAATGGTTTAAGAGCTCCCTGACTGCTGTAGAAGCAACTGAGGCAGATACATAGGGCTGAGAATTATTTAGTCTGACAAGCAATCAGGAGGATGTTTTCAGAATAATAAATCAAACTCACACCCCTGGACAGACAGGACATGGAGATCTAGAGCACTGATTTCTGTGCCCCTGCCCTGATGAGCAGAGGTGCCACAGCCCACTGTTGACTTTCCACCAACCTCAGGCTGACTGCTATCGTTTGAATCCAAGTGACATTGATTTGTCTGGACTGCTTTATAATCGAGCAGGGAACTGAAAAACCCAATTTTACATTTCTACAACAAAAAAGGTTTTCGAGAGAAATCCAGTGAAGATGGGCCTGCCTCTCAGCCACTGGAATAGACCATCCAAAGGTTGACGGGCAGAGCAGAACCCACGCTAGGATTTTTAAGTTATTCAGCATCATCCTCATTCCTGAGGCACTTGTGCATGACAAACTGGGGGTGCTCCAGTCCTCCAGCTGTCCAGGAGCTCCCTTTGCAGCAAGTCCCTCACCCTGACAGAAACATGGAAGGCTCACTAGGGCGAGGCCATAACATTCCCATCTGCAAACAGCATCGAAATAAAGCCAGAAGAAAACAAGATTTTTTTTTTCCCCCAGTTGTTTCTAGTGCACAATCTGGGGCACAAAAAACAGGGGACGCAGCCAGCTCCGAGCACAGGCCCTCGCGAGGCTGCTGGCCAGAAGTGGTTCGGCAGGTGGATGGGGTTTGGCAAGGGGACAGGGTAGTGGCATCTTTTCTCCGTGCAACGGGGCAGCATTTTGGTGCCCAGGCGGACTTTTAAAAACAGCCTCGGTTCTGCCAAGGTACAAACACGTGGAAGGGTGTGCCAGGCTGCAGCTGGAACGTCACCCTCGCGCAAAAGCCGCCGCGCTCCCAAGGGTGGGGATAGAAGGTGGGGCCCGCGGGTGGGCGGTGTGTGTGTTAAATTACTACTTTTAAAATAAGATATTTATTGTTATTCCCTCGTGAAGTCAGAGGCGGGCTTTTTCCCCCCAAGATCTTAAGATTCCCCCCACCCACCCCCGCCCCTTCCCCCCGCCCCCCAGCCAGGGGAGGCGGGAGGCCGCCGTACCTGGCGCCCTCTGCCTGGGGAGGAGCCCCGACGGCCGCGGCCGCCGAGCAGGTGGGCGCGGGTGGGCAGCGCTGCGGCTGCCGAGGGTGGGGGTCCCCGGTGCCCCCGACTTGCCTCGCTGTCCGAGCGAGCCGGGAGCGCCAGGGTGGGGGCGCGGCGGCCGCCTCCCCTCCCCTCCGATAGCGGGGGCCGGGGCTGGAGCTCCCCCCGCGCCGCGGGGACCGGGAGGACTCAGCGGACAAACTTGGTGCCGCGGCTCGTCCCCGGCCCCGGGCAGCGCCCGGCCGAGGGGGCAGGGAGGGCACGGGGTGACGGGGACACCCGCGCCCCTGAGATGTTGTTACTCACGGCGGCGGCGGAGGAAGCGAGGCTGCAGGTCAGGCACAGCCTGTGCGTGGTGCTGCTCTTCTGTTTTGTCAAGCAGAGGAAAAATGGGTTGTTTTCAGGCGGCAGTGGATGGGAAGAACTTTTTTTTCCTAGTTCTCGTCCTTGCAGTAGATGTGCTGGAATAGGTCACCTGAGAAAACGGGGCTGAGCGATTGTAAAAGCTACTGTGAATTAAATACTTATGTACATACTGGAAGGGGAATGCTGGGGAAGTGTTGGAAAGAAGCTCTTAAAGGTGTAATAATAATTAACATGGATAAAATTGAGACTAAAATCTCGTCACTTTTGCATTAGCCTGTTGGCGCTAATGCAGAGCAGCAGGGAGCGTGTTGGTAAAAGATGTGAAGGGGGGGTGTTGTTATTACTCTGGATATGCTCGGAGTTTGCAAAGGCATAGCAGCGGTGGGTTATATGACAGCTTCCATCTCTGCGGTATGGAGGGAGGATGGGTTTGTATCGCTCAAGAAGTTAATGAATTTCAGAATAGGAAGGACACATTAGACCAGCATGCCTCTGTGGTTTCTTTTGTTCTGAAAGTGGAATATTATTAAGTAAGGTTTCTGAAAGATAGCAAAATAAGTCTGATTTAGGAGATAAGACATTGCTATGAGATAAAATTTGACGATTTCAACACAGAATGGGTTTTTGACAGTCCGAATTTATGGGCTAAAGTCTGCAAGTGCTCCTCCTCATTTAGACTGAACTTGTGATAACAGCGATACCTGTTTTTGCGCATGCTGCATGAATCAAATCTTTGAACTGCTTCCTGATACTATCAGTGTTTTCAGTTTCTCCATCTGTATATCCAGCACAAGTTCCTGTTTATTTAACATCGTGCGTTTGTTTCATCACTTTTAACTTTGTACTGAAAGAGAAGCCGCAGGGCAGATGATCACAGAAATGAATATAACTTTATTCTGTGATGGCAGTCAGAGCTCGGACACTTGTTAGGTATGTGTGCGTGGGGATGGTTCCCGTTCACTGAGTGAACCTGTGACCCAAAACAGTGTCCCGGCTGGAATGTGCAGGCGGTGCAGACGCTGCTGCCACCCACGGCTCGTACGGGACATTGCCCGGAGTGCAGTGGAAAGATTGAGTCTGCTTTGCCATCAGGTACCGGCTTCCATGTGCAAGATAACATATGAGAGGCTCAGTGTGGGACTTATAAAGCAGATTGTGTAAGTTTGTTTTGCTAAACTGATGGGATACTTTGGCTGTTTTGCTGTAGATGACGGGGACAAAATCTGGGTTAGATTCATAACCAGAAAGAATTCTGTAGGAGTTGATGCTCTTCCTGTTGAAGATATAGGTTAGGGAATGGGGCTTAGCAGCCAACATGCAACCACTCTTGATGTTATAGTGACATCATTATTAAACATTCTTAAGTGTTATTTACAACATCTTATTAATAGTGAGGCTCCAGGTGGCAAAGTGGCATACAAAAATGTAGATACATGTACCAGCTTGTGATAAGGATGAAATTTATTTTTCTTTATTAATCGAGGATAGATATTCTCTAAAGACTGGAGTGTATAAACAGTTTGATCAGCTTTGCATATAGGCTTTGGTTGCTTAGGGGCAGATGCAATGCTTATTTCATTAGCTGCAGTTCTCAAGTTACTGCTGGTTTGGATCTATTCCTGAAAATTATTGAGAAGCACTTGAAATTCAGATTCTGTGATTGTACTGCACTGAAAAAGGCAACATATTACTGTATTTATCAAGTCATGTAGTATAATACAAAGCAACTGGCTCTTTTCTTCTCTCTATCCATCAGCACTTCCAAGAGGAAATATAATAAAGATACTGTAACATCTGAATTTCAGTTACTCTAGTAAGGGAAGTACAATCAATGCTCGGACTCTGTAAATAATGACTACTAAATCTGAATTTGCAGAAAGTTGTTTTATAACAACAAATCAAAACATAGCAGTGTAACATCTCGGTAATCACATCATAAAAGTCAGCAGCGTTTGCTGAACGTCTTAACAGAACATAGCCAGATCCTCATAGATGCTCTTTATACTTAGTAATTTTGTTGCTTTATGAGATCAGTATTTTGGGAAACTTGTTGTCCTCTAAAAAGAAGACCTTGAATGGAAAACAATGCCTTAGACATAACAAATAGAAAAATATTTGCACATTTTAAGAGATAGATATTAAGAGCTTCAAAGTAAAATAACATAATTTACTATTTTCTGTTATATTGAAAATATATATTAGCTGATGTCAAGTATTAAATAGTTTAATATCAATATTTTAAAATATTTTACCTCCAAAGAGAAACAAATCAATGAAAAGATTGGTGTGAAATCTCTTTGTATGTTTGTTAGTCATCACTCATCTATAAGAATTACAATATTTTTCAGAAGCATCTGCTTTTGTGGAAGCTTTTGTTCTCTGTGCTCAGTGACTGGGACAAGTTCAGTTCAGTCTTCAAAAGCAGGTGAGACCAGACATGCTCAGTTAGCTCTCTTACCCCTGATTTCCATAAGTTACTGATCCTGGATGTGTGTGAGCATTTGCTGCATTATTTTGTGGGTATTTTATGCAGTTCATGTAAGGTCTAATAAATGAGATCACAGATGAAAAGTTGAAGCTCTGGGAAAAATGATACTAGGTTCTGCTGTGCCAGAATAAAGATTCCAATCTTCTTTAGAAGATGCAAAATTAGTGTCTTAATAAACACAATAATGAAGTATAATATCTAGTGAAGTCTTTTATCTAGAAGTCTTTGGTACTCACATTACACCGAGTTACTAGTGGTTGCAGTGCAGTTTTGAGATGCAGCTTTCTGTAATGCCTTTACCACTGTTTTTATAGATCTTCCTCAATTAGTTTGTGTTCTTACACAAAGTAGTTACTGTCTTTGAAAGGCTGAAGCTTTCTGAAAAATGACTTATAGCAGCAAAACCTTAATGGTACTTCACAGTTGCATTTGCATCTGTGGTCATTCTGCATCAAGTTTGTCCAGTGGCTTTGTAGTCAGGGTGAACAGAGGTATAAACAGTGCAAACAGAAAAAATGTCCTTGGGACTTCCAGACTGGAGAGAAAGAGACTGTATTTTTAGACAAAATTGTATTTTTTTTTAATACACCCACCTTAATTTGATTTCTGAGATCATCAAGTGAGCTTATTCAGTATTACATACATGACAGCTGCCTTTGGATTGCTTTAAAACTATGTGAAACAGCTAAAGGATTTTCATTAGGTGTGAAAAGCATGTTTTCGTGCCATGGTAATTGAGATAACAGCTGAAATGGATTTCACTACCAGAAATACCTCTCTCTCAAATAAGATCACACATGGAGAGCCTGATTCTTCTTTTCATTGACTCCGTGTCATCTTTCACTGCTGTTACAACCCTCTGTGATTGAATGGTGTCATTTTGTAGCCAGACCAGGCAGAGGAGAGCAACATAACAGCTATGCTATAGATATGGTATAAGTGATAAAGTGAAAAGCAGAGGAAAACTGGGCCAAAGGTCCCTGAAATTAAGTTTACTAAACATAAGAACAGATAATTCAGCATGAAAGCACTTGCTCAGTCTTGACCCTGCTCTTACAAGTGTCTAAGAAAACTAAAACTGTGTGTCTGCTCTGCAGCTTCTATGTAATGGATATGCTATATACTTCATTTACACTGTTGGCAACTAGAATATCTGCCTTGATAAATGGAAGTGTTGGCTAGAAATTGCATTGCTTCTGCTTGATTCATAAGAGAGAGGTAAAATGAACAAAGTGAATGAACAGGTTGAGAGATAATAACCCCTTTGTGTTGGTCTCTTTCACAAGCTTTACACAGGTCTGTAAATGACTGTTGTACCATTGAACTTTTTCCACTTGCTATATCATGTTTTCCTCTCTTCATTATGTGTAACAAAAAAGGGAAAAAGAGGAAAGCAGAATATGGTACTGGATCACAAGGGAGGTCTTGGGGTCTTTTGTTTCTCTTTCGTATCCTCTTGTTTGAAAAGTATAATGTTATTGCTTTCCTAACTGTCACAGTTTTGTGCAAGGAAAAATGTATATATGTGAGTGCTACTGATTGTATACAAAATAATCCTGACAGGTTTTGGGCTTTTATCCAAGTCAGTTACGCTTTTTTGTATGCTAAAGAAGAAAAGAAATAACACCATATCTGTTTAAAATCTATAGATCTGCTGGGTTAGTTGAGTAGACACATAAAGAAAATCAGGAGGTGCATAAAAGGTAAGCCAGGCTTACCTATCAAGAAAATGGACTGGGTTTTTAGCAACTTATTTTCAGAGGGAATGTTTGCTCCTCTTGGGGATGTGTGAATTGCTGCAAAAATATCTGTCAAATTCTGCCCAGGATTTGGACAGAAAATTGATTTAAGTGGTCAGTTGTGTGAGTGTGAACAGCTCGTCACAAGTTAGTAATGTTACTTCTCTTGCTGCAGCTTGTATTTCCTTGAGTATTTTCAGAATTAAACCCTAAAGAACTGACCTCACTTCTACTGAAGATAAAGGAAAATTTAGCATAAAAAATAATAAGAGATTAATTAGTCCCTAAATTAGTAAATTGGCAGAGAGGGTGGAGAGTATCTCTGTAGTGTACCATGTGAGTGATGGATGTGGGGCCTAACAGGGCATTTAATGCAGAATGAAAGCCTTGTTTAGCCTTGAAACTACTAAGTAGCAAGGAAATTATGCAAAAGCAGATTGTACAAAATATTCTTGGATCAAGTGATCATGAGTTTACATTGACTTAACAGTAGGACAAATGATGTAGTGCCATGTGGGGGTACTTGAGCTTGCTCTGAACAAGCTGTACCAGGAACTGTAAAGGCCTGGTGTAGCTGCAGAATGAGTGTACTGTGGTTGCTTTGCTCCTTTCCTCTGCCCAGACTATTTTACCTGGTTGTTTTTTCCAGTACTTCAGTCTTTTATCCAATCCATCAGGTGGTGCTTTGCATATTGGCCTTAATACCAGCTCTAGTCAGGATATACCTCCTGATACCTCCTAGAATCACATTTCCTGTTGTTTTCAGAGCTGGATCAGCCTAGTTCTGCATTTCTTCTCTTTTTCCTCAGTACTAGCAACCTGTGCTGAACCTGTAGTATCATGCAGAATTAGGTACTTTTGTACCATGTGCTGTGTTTCTTTCGCCAGAGCAGATGACTCTACATTTTAAATGAAATGGCTTCTTTTGCCTTGCCTTGCATCGGCAGCAGGTGACATGTGAGGTGAATGGTGAGAAGGCCAAAGACAAATGTGGAGAGGAGGAACGGAGAGACTGGTAAACCAGTAGAAAAGAGGAGAAATATTCACAGTGAAATATAGAGGAAGGGCCAGATCCAGACTGAGCAAAGTGAAAGCTGGAGTCCAAAACCAGCATAAAACTTGACACCAGAATTAGCAGAAATGAGTGAATCCTTGTCTTTACCCTGCTTGGTCTGATGGTAGCAGATATTGGCTGCACTAGAAGAATCCTTGGGAGTGGATTCTGATCTACCTGTTCAAAGAAGGAAAACTGTAGACAACCACTTTGGTCCTTGGTGTCTACGACAGACGCAAATGCAAAAAATACTCCACTGACATTAATCCCTAGAATTATTTTCCTTCTTCCAAGTTAGTTGAGTATTTTTAGATTTGTGGTGTTCATTGCTTATGCTGTGTGTAAAGGTAGGTATCAATCTCAATTTCCTCTCTGAGTAAAATGACTTTCACAAAGAGTTACAGATGAAGTCCTTTAATAAGTCAAAGGGATGAATCTTCAATTTGGTAAAACTCATATTGTTTTTTTCTGAGAACTTTGTTTTATTAGCAATTCAGAACTAGGCCTACAAATCAAAACATCTTTTGTCAGGGATTTTTTTGTTGTTGCTGCAGTTGCAACTGCAATTTGTTGTTCATTGCACAAAGTGAAATTATTGACCTGAGTAAACGGATATAAGTCTGGAAGTAGATATTTTGTGCATTGCCTTTAAAAACAGCTAACAATTTTCTGTACAAGAAGGCATATTTACACCTTCATGCACATAGGAAGTTTGACATCAGCTTTGACACTTAAGGGACAGTGAGAACATTTTGCATTTTATTTTTTCAGAAGAATGAATTAGTTAAAATACAAAAAAAGCAGTATTATGATAGTGTAGCAAGCCTTCCTTAATAGTGTAGGGGTTTATGTACATTTTACTTATAAGTATTGAAGCCTTACCCTGGTGTAACGAATATCTAAGATGAAGATATCAACTATGTCATTGAAATGGAATAGTGGTTTCAAGAGGATTGACAGATAAGGGCATCTAAGTGAGAATGTATAAGCATGTTCAGAAGTTATAGTTTAATTTCTTAGACCATTAGGGTTAACATTTTTAACACTGGAAATTGATTTTGAAGGGGAATTAAGTAATCACAACTTTGCTGAAAACCAGGATAAAAGCTTCCCATTCTTTCTTTGAGATGAGGATTTCCCCAGCAACTTATTCCTGCAGGGGACCAGATCATCATGTTTTACATCTCTTGTGAAAGACAATTTTTTCCTTATCACATACAGTGACCCTGTGCTGGGGCCTGATATTCATACTGTACTGAAAGGAAGAATGGCTCATGTTGAATTTCAAGATTCATTTTCCTTGCATTGCTGGTATTAGACTGTTCTTTAATCTGATTGGTATCAGCCTGACATGGCACACATACAGGTTTCTACAAATTATTTTTTTCAAGATGGAAAGATGTGAAAACAGGATCTCTGATAAAACATCATATGGTTGAAAGGGAAAATTTTAGAATTATTTCAGACATGGATTTTTAAAGTCCTGTAGTCTTCCAATACCCACATTTGCAAATTCTTTTCACTTGACTGGCATTTGAAAACAGTTGTTGAACTGTCTACAGCAAATATAGAAAAGCAAGATGCTTAATAGTGCCTTGTTTGCATTTTCCATTTTGACACTAGCTACTTAATCGGAAAGCAGAACTTTCTTCTGTTGAGGGAATTGGTTAAAAAACATGAGGATATCTTTTGGTGAAAACCATTCTGTGTGTACAGGTATACTTTTCAAGTAATTCTATATTATACAAATTATAGTGAATTAATTTATTAATAACTATAAAGAAATGTATCATTAATAGTTATGTAAAAACATACTATTTACTTGGCAGAGGCTGAAAAACTTGCAAGTGTTAACCTGGAACATCAAATTGCCCTTACTGAGAGAGCTCAAGTGCTGTGGACACTGAAACTCTTGAGGAGTATAATAATAACAGTTGCCTTCAGAATGTGGCAGTGACCTTGAACTTCCACTGAGCTTCACTTTCTCTAGCTTAGGCTAATGATTAACTTTGCTAGTGACTGTATATCAAATTCACCATTGTTTGTATAACTGGCAGTGAAACAGGCCATGTCTGCTTTTGCATGGATGATACGGTATTAATTTCAAGGAAACCCTTTGTATAAATTGTTTCCTGTGCAAAGTT